CCCTCGGCGGGAGTGCCGCCATGCTCCCAAGCGGCGCACTGTAGCAGTGCGCCACCAGGCCGGCCCCAAGATAGGCTTTTTGAAGGAGGTTACTTAAGTGAAGAGAAGAGAGGGGGTAACATTCCAGACAAAGGGAACACCATGAGATGAGTCAAGCAGATAACAGTGTTCATGAACTAGTCAGAGAGTTATGAATAAATTAATTTCGTTGAAACAGAGGGATGTGTCAGGGAGTACTTAACAGATACGGTGGGATCACATCCACTAGAGCGGCTGTAATCAAAAAGACAATAACAAGTTTTGGTGAAGATGTAGACAAATCAGAAACCTCATATGTTGGGAATGAAAATGGTGTGGCTGCTTTGGAAATAGGCAGTTTCTTAAAAAAGTGAAGAAATTTACCATATGACCCATAATTCCACTCCTAGGAATACGAGCATACTTTAAAATGTTCATGGAAAGATTTGTATTATCTTTTAATTCTATTTTTCCACAAACTTTTTGAAGTACTGTTGTATACCATAGAGAAATGAAAACATAAGTTGTCATAAAGGTCTGATTGCAAATGTCATAACAGCGTTATTCTTAATAGCCAAAAATGGAAACAACCTAAATATCCATCAAGTAGGCAATGGATAAATAAATATGGTATATATTCATACTATGGGATACTCTTCAGCAATAAAAAAGGAATGAACTACTGATATATTCTACAGTGTAGAGGAACCTCAAAAGGATTATGATAAGTGATAGAAGCCAGGCAAGATATCACATATTGTATGATTCCATTTATATGAAATATCTAGAAAAGTCAGAGAGAAGGAAAGCAGGTTAGTGGTTGCCTAAGGCTGGAGGTAAGAAAGGGGAATGATCGTTAATGGGCACAGGTTTTTTTTAGGGTAATGGAAATGACTTGGACTATGGAATGGAATATGGTTATAGTTTCACAACTTTGCAAATATGGCAATAATATGTCAATCATATGCTTTAAACAAGTGGATTTATGGTATATATATTATTATATCTCAATAAAATCTTAACAAAAGAAGTAAAGTGAAAAAGAAAAACAGGAAACTGTTTGTGGAATGATTTGAATGCCATACTAACGAATTCAGACTTTTAAAAAAAATTTAATTTAATTTAATTTTGTCAATATACAATGTGGTTGATTATTGTGGCCCATTACCGAAACCTCCCTCCTTCCACCCTCTCCCCGCTCCCTCCCAGCAATGTTCTTTCTGTTCACTCGTTGTATCTTCTTGAAGGAATTGTGGTTCTTGTGTCTTCTTCCCCCCGCCCCCAGGTTATTTGTGTATTTATTTATTTATTTTTAGCTCCCACCAATAAGTGAGAACATGTGATATT